GCGCAGCCCAGCCCGCTCTCGTCACCCGCGCCCCACCAGGGAGGGGGGCCAGGCTGGCCCCCAAGTCACCGTGCGGTTTCTCGCTCATTCAAATTGACGGAGACTCGTGCCAAGCTCCAGCCTCTCCACTGCCACACAAGTTCATCCACATACTGATGGCTTCTGGAGCCGGTCCGTGCACTCTCTGCCCCAGCTCTTGGGCAACCCGGCCCAGGTGGCTGGAGGAGCTCAGCGAGGAACAAATGGAATGCTGGTTGTCACCTGTAAAGCTAGAGTCAGACAAGAGTTGTAGCCTCTCTCTCCTGACTGTGCCATGCATCTGTCTGAGAAAGGGTACTTGTTTGCATCTGTGGCGTATCCGAACAGAGCAGTGCACAAAACCTCTGGTGACAGTCACTGTGAGCCCCTCTCGTTGCAAGGGGGTATCACAAGGTCCCAGGCATGTGCCTGCCACTGTGCTGCTGAATATTCCCCGCACACACCTCTAGCTCTACTCCTTCCAGCACCAGGTATTGACGGCTTTCAGGTCTGTGTCATCCTCATTTGACCTTTCTTCCCCTTCTCTCATGACCGCTTTTCCATGTGCCAATACACCTCATCTCCCTCCTGGAGAGGAACCAGGACACCTTTGTTTTAACAATACTTTGCAATGGTATCTTTTACACAGGCTCATCCCGAGGCCCGTGGCTGCACCTATGAGTTAAATTCATCCTCTGCCTGCTAGCTCTGCCAAACCACCATTCACCCGCTCCATTTCCTAAGCTGGGTCAGTGACACCATCCCGTCTCCTGGCCCCGTACCTGGGCATGGCAACACACTCAACACCAGAGACTTGGTAGCCACCTCTGGGAAATGAGCTATGCAGCGTCCCAGCTGTGGCCACAGAGCAGCCCCAGCTCCCGCTGCCACCAGTCCAGGCTGAGCTGCTTCTCCAGAATAACCCACTCACCATTCCACAGGGCTGAAGTCACCACTTTGGGTGGAGGTGCCCCGAGAGGCAGCTGGGCTGGTGCAGAAACGAAATATAAATAACGACATGCAGAGGTGGCACCGCAGCTGGCAATGATGTGGAAGGGCTGCACGGTCAGTGGAAGCAGCGGTGCTGAGGCAGCGTCTCAGCCGTCTCCCCTGTACGTCCTGAGAAACCTGGACGATAGCTGGGCTGTCAGAAAGCCACCGCTGTCACCTGCCGTGCTGCCCAAACTCACTGCTGCTACGCTGCCTCCTGGCACCTGCTCTCTCTGATTTGGATGGCAAATACTCCAAAGAGGGGGACTAACATTTTCAAGTCACCTGGCACAGGTTTTATGCTCCATAATTGCCCAACCTAGGCACACTACTAACGCTAATTAAACACAAGAAAGAAAAAAAAAAAAGAAAGAAGAGCTCAGTGTGAGACCCACTAAAGGATAACATCTCTTGGTTTATTACCAGTGCATTGCTATAATTTTAAATGTGTTTTATTTATGAGACATATAAAGTAGAGCACTCTGAGGGACACAGTGTTAAAATGTGTCCTTGTATCTTTTTTTTTTTTTGCATTATGCTTATTATTTTATTCTCTTTTTCTCCACCAAAATAATATTGGAGAAGGGAGAACAGGATCAATGTGAGCTGACATCTGTGAACATCAGAGGGGAAAAAAAGTGAGCCTTCAGGAGGATTTGGATGGAGGATGTGGTTGGGCTTGCATCACTGGGAATGACACCGTACCATGCAACTTATTCCGAGGCCCTTTCCAAGACATACACACAATATTTTGTATTTCCACCTTAGGACCCCAAAGTGCTTTGTAAATATCAATTCATTTACCTCTGTAACACACAAGACAGCGGGTCTTGAAAAATCTGTTGATTAGTGACAGTAGGAAGCTTTCCTCACGGAGAAGTAAATATATAAAACATTCCAGACCTTATGATTGGAAAGATGATCTGCCGAATATAAAATAATGCAGCATTGTATTCCTGGGGCTGCAGACAGACAGCTGTAGTGCCTCTGTGGCTGCTGCTGAGAGGTTGCCAAACACCAGCGAGATTAACAAAACTGCTCAGTTTTCTTGCTGCTATTCAGCGTCTCGTGTGTG